AAAAAAAAAATTAAAAAAAGAAAATGTCTGAAGAGCTTCATTCAGTTCAGCACTTACAGCAGTGATTATGGTTTGAACTGCAGTCTTCCTGTAATCTGATCTGCTTTCTGCTTACACTGTCAGATGGTAATTTGAGAGACATTTCAGATACCTGAGCACTTAAGACACTCTCAGTTGATCTTCAGTAAGGAACAAATTATTGGCTTTATTTGGGAGATTTCATAACTTCCTAAGAACTTTTGTTTATGTGAGCTAAATGTACTGTACTGATAACTCATATTTACCAGTATTAGTAATTTTTCCAATTTACCAAGAAATGTTTTAATTTTAAAATAAACCCATCTTGTGTTAATACAAATAATATTTTAGTGCAAATAATCCATTCTTTCAGCCTCAAAAGTAAGGAAAGTGCCATAATTTTACCTTTTGCAAATCTTTTTTGTGTCTGGCTTACTATAGAGAGCCTAATTTTCATGTCCATTTCTGAATTAAGTTACATTATTCTTATTGAAGTTTATAAAGAAAATACAGCTTCATATAGATAGGTAACTAGAGACAATTTTAATATCCTTTTCAGAAAATTGTGACTATTCTTTTACTGTTATACCCAAACTTGACAAGTGGTAGTTTTGTGGTTGCAGTGTAAATTTTTTATACTGTGCTACATTAAGATGCATTCAGTGAGTCTTTTAACCAAGTTTAATTTTAAACATATTGGTTCATTTAGTTATATGGACCTTCCAGATGTATCTCTTATTTTACAGTATCAGGAATTCATGTTTAGTAATATCACCATAGATTATGTTAGAAATGTCTTTTGTCAGGTTTTTAGTGGCAAATACAAGTTTTCCAAACATTTTACTGTTTGAAGCATAGCTTTTATCACAGACAATTGTAGGGTTTCTTGACTTCAACGTTATTGTTTTGGGCCACACAGTTCTTTATAATAGGGCACCACCTGTACCTAGGAAAGTGTTTGAAGGCTTTCCTGGCCTGTAGTTGGTAGCATCCCCACACCTCAATTGTAAGAACCACAAGTGTCTCCAAACACTGACACATACATCAGGCATTAAACAGCTCACAGTGAGGAAGCACTCAGTTAATGAACACCATCAGTTGTTTTCTTTCAAGTGAAAAGCACAATTTACTTATTTTAAGAAAATGTCACCAAATGTCCAAGTTGGAATAGCCGTAATTTGTTTGTCGGTTGTTCTCCAGCAGAGCCATTGCTTCTTAGGACTTAAGAATGCTAATTCTTCATCACGCAAACGATTTCAGCTCTCTACTGCTCCAGTAGGTTCCTCATTTTTTTTTTATCAGCAGAACGCCAAGGGGGTTATACTAATAAAAAGTAAATGTATGTGTGCTCTATTAAAAACACAAAAAGAGTGAGCTTACCTCTGTGAAGAACTATTTACAGGTTCCAGAAATCACAATTTCACCTCAATTTACTTGTATTTCTTGTTCTGAATTCAGCAAACTTAGTGACAGCTCTGAGAATTATAATGAACTTAGCATATCCTACATAAAAATAGGTACTTACTTGCAAAAATAATAATAAAAATATTCCATACTTAGTGCTACCTGATTATAATTGTTGGCTTAAAACATTTGCCTTTAAAAAAAAAAGTCATTTGCCTTATGGTCATTAATAATAATTCCCAATTTCCTGACATGTTTTGCTCATGGAACATAGTGTCAGTTATTTTTTTCTCACTGCTGGGACAAAGTACCTGACACCCAAAATTAAGGAAGTAAAGGTTTATTTAACTCACAGATTGTGGAGGTTTTAGTCTTTACTCAGCTGGCTCCAAGTGTTGGCATACACCTATAATCCTAGCTCTTGGGAGACTGTAAACAGGCGGATCACTACGAGTCCGATCTAGTAGTGAAACCCTGAACACCCTGTAGACCCTTCCTAAAATTGCCAAAAAAAAGAAAAAGAAAAAAATATTCATTGGGTGGATTAGTGTAGATGTTCCTAAGCTTCTGAAACAAAGAAATCAAGTAGGTTATGGTTATTTATCTTTCACATAAAAGTCTAGAGATGAGCACCTAGACTCTTGGGGCAGCTTGGCTCTGTGCTGTCCTTCTAGGGTACCCTGTATTGCTCTAACATTCTTTACATGATTTGTTGTATTTGAGTCACTGCCATATCATTTTCTAGCCCCTGGGGGGAGAGGTAGTGCAGGCCAAGCAGTTTCCTTCTAGGCACATGGTCCCGAAGCTGCCCACATCACTTCTGCCTCCAGCCCACCAGTAGTCATGTGACTGCATTCAGTTCATTGCCAGAGAAGCATGAGTTTGGGAGGTGATTCTTAGTCTGCCAGAAGTTAGCTGAATTAAAACTACTGGCCAGAAATAGATTTGATGATTTAATAGTCTCTTTGCTAGAAGAACCAAAATACTTCAAGAGAATAGAAGCTAAAAATTGGCCAACTGGGGAATTTTAAATTAAATAGCCAATGACATCTTACTTAGTTTTAATAGGATATCAGAATTAGTAAATTTTTTTGAAACCTTTAATGTTGTAATTTCTGTGCTGGGGAGATAGCTCAGGTCTAAGTGCCTGCCTAACAAGCACAAGGACCTGGGTTTGATCCCTGGTAACACATGCCATGCTAGCCCTGCACTGTGCTGGCCACCAAAACCAGGTGTGGGGGTGCGCACATGTAATCTCAATGTTGGGGAGGATCACTACATGTCCAAGCTGTGTAGTGAGACCCTGTACCAAATAAATTAAATGATTTTTTAAAATTGTAATTTCTTTTAATATGTTAGTCTCTTTTTTCTTTTTTCTTTTTTTCTTTTGGTACCAAGAATCAAACTCACAACCTCATGCTTGCCAGGCAGGCATTGTGCCACTGAGCTATATCCCTGGCCTGTTAGTTTCTTGTAATTAAGCAAAATATCTTAAAAGTCTTTGAATCTCACATACAATCACTTGCGGACATGAAATGTGGCAAGTCGTGAGGTCATTGGTAATGACTTCACTAACATCCTCTTTCTGGCTCTGGTTAAAGGCATGAAGAAATTACCTGCTTCAGAGACAGCATGCTACAAGTGGGCCTGTCAAAAATTGCATAGACATGGATTCAGAAACCTCTTCTATCATCACCTGGTTCATTGAGCCAAATCTTTCATGGAAATTAGGGCATAGTCGAGATAGATAAGAATGAGATAAAGTTTTGATCTTTGTTTTTTAATGAACTAAGCGTAAATGGCAAAACTTTAGAAGATGGCTTAGAGTATTAAATCTAAGTCAAACCATGTAAAAAATATCAGAGTTTTTCATTATCTATTCACATTGGGCTTATGGAATCTTAAATATAGGCCAAAGTGTTTTTGCTTTTTAAAGACAACATCTCACACACACACACAGAAAGTTTGACGGAATTTGAAAAGATTGTCAAAATGCTTCATGAAAAAAGTGCTACTTTTCATCTCCACTAGAACTCTTGTCTTTAGCATTGTGTAAGTCTCCAAAGAGCAGTTTTCCAGTGGTAACCTTCCAAAATTAATATGCAGTTTGTGTAGTAGTACACAGTGTACCATGAGGGACACACACATGCTGCATGATCCTTCCAAGTTCTCAGAATAAGGAAGCAGAGTATCACACATTTACAAAGTACATGAAGCGGGCCGGTCAGATAGCTTAGCGGATTAAAGCACCTGTAAGCAGGCACAGGGGCTTGGGGTTCCATCTCTGGGCCTGCTGTGCTGGGCCTCCCACCAGGACGCTCTGAGATATCAATGGAGACTGTGTGTGTGTGTGTGTGTGCGCGCGCGCAGAGTCTCACGACACAGCCCAGACTCGAAGTGATCCTCCTGATTTCTGCCTCCCTAGTGCTGGGATTGCAGGCACGCGCCTCCACGCCTGGACTCGGCAATTGAGACTGGGTGTGGAGGCGCATGCCTGTAATCCCAGCTCTTGGGATGCTGTAAACAGGCAGATCACAGGAGTCTGATCTAGTAGTGAGACCCTGAACACCCTGTAGACCCTTCCCTAAAAAATACCAAAAAAAAAAAAAAAGTGCATGAAGCAAGCTATGTAGATAAAATTATGGATCTTTGTATACCCAGAAACTAAGAGCTGGATATTACAAGAAATATATTCTTAATTCATACTGCCTTAAAAAAAAAATGAGTGATTTTAGGCTGTAGTAGTCACTGGAAAGATAGTTTTAAGGTAAAGAGGTTAGTGGAAGGAACTACAGTATTGGAAGATGTAATTGTAGTCAGCAAAAGTATAGAGATTTAGGGGTACACATGACATGGTTGTGAAACAACAAGTCATCGTGGTTAAGGTAGACCTGTGCACAGAGACATAGCAAGACTGACGCATTGAGGTCAGATTATGAATCATTCCTGAAAGGCAAGGGAAAATTCTTCTTGTTTGTTTTCCAAGGTCTTAGATGCTATTGAAAAGCTAAAAGGTGTTAGGAGTGACTGCTGAGGATAACCTGCTAACTAACTGTACAGAGCCTATTAAAAGGAAGTATATAAAGGTACTCAATGAAGAATCTGATGTAGCCAGGCAGGATGCCTGACACATGCTAGTAATCCCAGCATACAGGAGGTTGAGGCAAGAGGATCACCACAAGTGTCAAAGTAAAATAAAGAAATTGATACAGAAATAAAGGTTAATGATATTATGAGATCCTCATGGAAGTAAGGTGAAAAAGTGAAGATGGATTGGGAAAGCAACACTGAGAATTCAAATTAAAATGCACAGTAGGCATTAGAAGGGATCTGTGAATACTGATTTGAAAGTCTTTTGTCCAAAAATTATAAACCAAGGAAATGTTAACAAGTGGGCTAAGGCAGGGAGTAAGCAAAGAATGCTAAGATAAATAATTGGTGAATATTTTGTCAAAAGGACCAAAACATATCTGCAAAGATGATGGTAGTATATCCAGAAAGGAACAGAGAACCAAGCCAGTTGTGGTGGCGCAGCACTCTAGGAGCCTGTGGAGGATTGTAAGTTCAAGGCAACTTGCAAAATTTAGAGACCCTGTCTCAAAATTTTAAAAATTAACTTTTTCTAAAGGGCCAGGGATATACTCTGTGAAGTGCCTGGATTGAATCCCCAGTACCACAAAAATAAATAAATTAATTAATTAAATAAAATACATTTTTAAAAACGGCAGAGGGGAGATCAACAAAAGAAGCAGATATAGAAAAGAATGTATTAGTGGTAGAGAGGCTAAGAGGGTTTTTTGAAGGAAAAGATGGGGCAAAATGCTATGGAGGTCAAAGAAGCACAGACCAAGAAAGCATTGTATCTGACCCCTAGGCTGGAGGGGTAGAAGAAAGACAGCCATAGACACGAAGACGTCTCATTCATTGAGCTCCCTAGGCACTGCATAGTGTAGATTTATTCCTTCAGGGAAAATTAAGCCCTGTGTTTTAGAGGAGAAAACTAACATAGAGCTGAAGTTTTCCAGGTCCAGGATTCAAACCTAAGTCATGTACCTTTTCACTTTATCAAGGCAGATAAACAGCATCAACAACAAAAAATAAATAATTGATGGTTGCAGTTTGTGCTTTTGCCTCTTGAATGTTGCCAGAAGAAAGACAATCATTTAGTTCCACCTGTACACAGTCTAAGGAGTTTGTGGATCTATTTTCATAGATTTGGGTTGACCAGACCCTTTGAGTATATCTGATTATGTATATTAGAAAAATGCAACCTGGAGGCCTTAAAAGATGTTCCTAAAATACAGTCAAACCTGGTGGTAGTCAGAGCTGGCACAAGATGAGTGTTCTTTCTACTCTTGCATACTTCCTCTTTCCAGAAATAACAGGTTGTATGTTTAGGTTTCCTCCCTGGACAGTCACCACCCAGGCCTTGTCTCCGGTAAGTTTCTGTTATATCGTCTCAAAGGGATGATAATTTCCTTTGATTAGAAAATACAAATTTGCAACAAACCAGTACTTATTCTTGAGGGCAAATTATTATGGGAGGTCCTTTCATATAGTAAAGAATTTGCATAGAAAAAAATTACGAGAAAATCCGTGTTTAACTTTCCTCAGTATCTGGAGTATACTTGCATAACTTTGCCATCCTTTTCATTTTGTTATCTTACCTACCCTCACCCATTCATTTCAATGATTCACCACTTTAAGTAATTGAGAATTCAGGGAAACCTGGATGTATGACTTACTGTGCTCCTTTGTCTCTGTTCCAGACTTTTGATGAATGTGTGGCTGAGGGCGGCTCAGACTGTGCTCCAGAGAAGCTCTGGCTTCAAATCCCATTCTTCTGTGGCCATAGCTCGGAATGCTGGTAGGGAGATAAAGTTAGCTTCAAGTGATCATTTTCTTTGCAGAACTGGGGATTGAACTCAGGCTGTTTGCGCTTGCCAGGGAAGCACTTATTCCACTGAGCCATCTCCCCAGCCCCTCAAGTGATCATTTTCCTTCTTACATCTATAAATCTGTATTTCGTGAGTATGAATATGTTGATCCCAAACTACATAAAGGGAAATCAGTGAAGATTAGACTAAAAATAACATGTAATTAATACCTAGTTTTCTGTTTACTTTTACATGCATTTGAAAGATTATTCATTAAAAAAAAGATTATTCATATGTTATCCTCATAGTGTTTTTCAGTTACTGCTTTATTTTTATTTTTAATCTTTTTCTTTATTTATGTATTTGGTATAGGGTTTTGCTACGCAGCTCAGACTCGTAGTGATCCTTTTGTCTCAGCCTCCTCAGCGCTGGGATTACAGGCTTGCACCACCATGCCCAGTTTCACTGGCTGACACAGCACACTTGAGGTTCTGGGGCCAGCACGGGATGTGGTACCAGGGATTGAACCCAGGTCCTTGTGCTTGCCAGGCAAGGGTTTAGACCACTGAGCTCTATCTCTCTTTGCCCTGGTTACTATTTTTTGGTTTTTGTGGTTTTTTTAAAGTTTGTTTATTGGGGCTGGGGAAATGGCTCAGTAGAATAAGCACTTGCCTGGCAAGTGCAAGGGCCTGAGTTCAATCCCCAGTTCTGCCCAAAAAAATAAATAAATAAATAAAGTTGGTTTGGTGTTCTGCTTTTATTATAGCAAAAAGTTTAATTAGAGACCAAAGGTCATTTGATAAACTTTATTTTGTCCTAAAATTACTGTTTTAGCCATTCAAGTTAAAAAAGAGGCTTAGTGGGTAAATTATTTACCTGACTTTAACATTAAGCTGATTTTTAAAAAAAGAGCTAAGGTTGTGATTATAATTTAATCTGCTAATAAATATGAGGTAGAAAATAAAGATATTTTTTTTTTAATAAAGAATTTATTGGGCCGGGGAGATAGCTTAGTAGAATAAGTGCTTGCCTGGCAAACATAGGGCCCTGAGTTCAATCCCCAGTACCGCAAAGAAAAAGAAGGAAGGGAGGGAGGGAGGGAAGGAGGGAGAAAAGAATTATTTCCTAAGAACGTATTAAGTGTTTAATAATTGTATATTTTTTATTCTAGTCCACATTTTAATATGATAAGTAGAAAAATAGAAACACATTCAAAGTATTTTCCTTAAAACCATAATGAGAAATACAAGGAAATTCTTCATTATTTGAGATACATTATTAGGTAACTATGAAGCATAAAGTTCTATATACAGTAGATTATTTCAGAGCATTGTGATAGCACAGGAAAAATTAGAAACACAGGAAAACCATCTTCTCTAGTTTTAACTATTTCCTTAGAACAGGGGTTAGCAAACTGCACCATGTAGACTATGTTGGGTGTCTCTTTTTTTTTCTTTTTGATAAAGCTTTATTAGAACATAGTCGTTTCTGTTTATTTATTACTATCGATAGCCACTGTCATGCTGCAGTGGAGTTGTATATTTATAATCTAAAGCATACAGTAACCTAAAAAGCCTAAAATACCTTTTCCTGGCCCTTCATAGAAAAAGTTTGCCAAGCTCTGCCTTCAAACAGAAGAATACTGCTTGACTGAGCATTTTCAAGACTTTAATGTTTCATAGAGAACTGAGGCCGTCCATAGAAATCTGCTTATTTATTTCCCCTTCCTTCTACTCCCTGCCCCCCCCTTTTTTTTAATATCTGAGAAAACATTAGAAAGGTGAAACCTCTAGTTTAACCTACTTAAAGGCAGATTTCAAATTTGAAGAGTGTTAGTGCTTAAAAAGAACTCCAAAGTATGTAGTTAGGGTAAACTCTATTTACGGCCAGGATCAATGAAAATAAGAGGGCAGGCGCCAGGCATGTAGCTCAGAGGCACAGCTGCCTGCCTGGTAAGTGTGAGGTCCTGAGTTCAATTCCTGGTTACCCCCCCCCACACACACACACCCTCAAATAAGAGGCCATTAACAGAGCCATTTCTCCTTATGTTTTTGTTGCAGAAGCTTCAGGAAACATTTACAAGATAAGTGCTGAACATAAATGCTAAGATCTTACTAAAGAGCTCTTTAGTGCACACATAGCCCCTAAATTCAGGGTTCAGAGTTCAAGGCTATCCTGTGCTTCACATTGAGATGGTCCAAAGGGGAAAAGTTTGTAAAATGAAAAAAGAAGTGAATTAAAATTCACTCACATTAAATCATATGTTACATATGTGCATTTTGTAAACTCTGTAAACTTTGATTGTATTGAGCCCGCTAGTAAAATCTGAACTAGCACTAGATCTGAAAGCAAGGCAAATTAAAAACAGACGTGCCTCCCAAGGCTGTTACTGGAAGAGCATTAGAGCTATGACTGTACATGGGTTTGTCTGTTTTCTCCATAATATGCAGTATCAGAAACATCAGGAATACTTTGCCATGTCACACCCAAATTTTTAATTCTTTTTGTTTGGTTTTAGGAATGTGGGAAGCAGGTGGGCTATGGATCAAGCCAAGTATAACCTAATTAATGAGTACTTTCTGGTGGGAGTTACTGAAGAACTTGAAGATTTTATCATGTTACTGGAGGCAGCTTTGCCACGGTTTTTCAGGGGTGCAACAGAGCTCTATCGTACAGGTATATAAATAAGGAATTTTTTTTTAAGTTAAACCTAGCTTTTTTAAAATAACTTTAAAAAATGTATACAATTTGAAGTTTCTTCAGTAAAACACAACAGATAGCTCTAGAAAGGGAAGTGTATTGTGTTTCTGTTTAATATTTTCATTAAAAGATCACATGTGGCACACAGATAGTGTTAAGTATTTTTAACATGAATAAATTGCATTAGATGAGAATTAGGAATAGTGAAATAATTCAGACTACAAAATTAGCCTTAGAAATGTGTCACAGTAATGCCAGATTCAGATTCCAAATTATATATTTAAACCCTTAGATCTGTCTCCTACCACTTTTTTTTTTTTTTGTATTTTAGGGAAGGGTCTACAGGGTGTTTGGGGTCTCACTACTACATCGGACTCCGTAGTGAACTGCCTGTTTATAGCCTCCCAAAAGCTGGGATTACAGGCGCACACCACCTTACCCAGGCTCAATTGCCATCTCAGCAAACCCCTGGCCCCTGCACCTGCTTGCAGGTGCTTTAGTCTACTAAGCTATTTGGCCAGCCCTACTTTTTTT